ACGTGTTTGCTTCTGTGCCATAATTGTTTCATTGCATCGAAAAGTGCCTATCGTACTCGACTGTCGCATCACAAAAATACCCAATGCTGTATCAGTTTCCGGTTGGGTGAGAAGCGATGTGGTTCTTAAGTCATTCTTGGTAGCGTCGAAAGATGCGATTGCCTCAGGCGTCTATTCAAGTGACGACTTGCCTTTAACATCGTCCTTCAATAGTTCGTTAAGGGTAGCTGGAGACCTGTACTCCATAGCCTTAGGTATGAATTTCCTTCGGAAGTACCATACCCAAGAATTGACGGTAGTTGCGCGTATGAGAGACGTTATTGTCTTTGCTCTGGTAGTGGTGATTTTTATATTAGAGCTAATTTTTTTTGTAAATGAATTTTCCGAAACTGCTTATTAAAGCACAACACTAGCGACAATGGTGACAGACCTAAAACTTTCCGCCCCACCTACACACTATTTTTGGGGAATGTTTACGCCAATATAGGCGATTGTGGGTGCTCCTGTGTCCAACAGTACTCGATTATCTCTAGAACGAAAAATTATATCGACGTGGACCAATTGCATTCGATTCATAATCATTCAACTTAAAACTGATTAGGTTAGGTTAGGTTGCAGCAACATCCCGTTCCTTCCAGAGTATTCGCGAAATCACCTAAGTTTGACGGGAAAACATCATGCACTACTTTCATTACACAATTCGAGATAGGCTTAGGGACTATGCTTGATAACCGAAGGAAAAGGCCATTGCACTTAATTGCGCCTTAGGTGATAGCGTTGAGGTAATTTTGAATACACTATAACCTGGAGAACTAACAGCATACCAACAGCTACTGAAATGCTTGGAAATGCGATACGGTCAGGCTCACTTGAAGTCAGTCTGTCACGTCCAACTATGAAATCGGCGTTAAAAAATAGGGAAAAGCATGCAAGAGTATGAGGCGAATATTGCAAGGTTTTCGTTTCGCCTATTCAAATATGCCCAACGATACTTTCGAAAAGTTGGTCTTCGACTCGTTTATCAATGGATTGAGGGATGAAGACATACACAACAGCTATATCAACTGGAGAGTCTATGAATATGGAATATGATGTCGCTAAGTAGGCTTCCCAGAGGCAATGAGTAGCATGGATCTGAGGACGACTAGCTTGAAGGCGTTATTCGCCTAGTATTAAGTAAGATCAATAAGAAACCAAGACCAGTATGGTGCTGGAATTGTGGAAGATTGGAATACGTAAGAGTCGCCTGCAATAGCGAAGAAGCTGCTCAAGAGAACGTACCCCGCATATAGGAAAACCTGTCAGAGACGACTACAAGTATCTATGTGGAAAGAACTTTTTGATCTGGTATGATAACGCCACCCTAAAATAGTTGCTAAATTCCAAGTCTTGAAGGTCAAGTAGCACTTTGGAAAGAAAAGCTTTAAGAATACAGTTTTGATATAGAACACCTAGATGGAAATAGCCACAAGAAGACCATGCCCGGAAAACTGCAAACAATGCATCACGGACTAGCAATATTCTGCCTGATAACACCAAGGCAGAATAAGACTGGGTTGGTCCCCAGAATGCTCTGAGAATGTAAAACTTAAAGAAGACGAAGTGCCTACTAAATTTATCGATGTGAAATCGTTATGGGCCCAGATGGTCTGCTGAAACGGGTGGTAGAAAACAAGGATAGTAGTGAGAGCAGTATTCAACTGATCATACCACGAAGTTCGGTGAAAGAAGTCCTGTCCTTTCATGATGGTTCGTTGGGAGGACATTTTGGAATTAACAAGACTCTTGAAAGAGTACGTGAGCGATTTTACTAGCTGAGCTGGAAGAAGAACGTTAAAGACAGGTGTAGGAAATGTACTACATGCGCATCCCAGTAAGGGAACATAAAAGCGACAGCGTGCCCTTCCCTCCTCATGCGCTAATTACGTAATGTCGGCAGCTCATTTGAATGAATTGCCACATCTGAAATGTTTCATGACTTATTCACAATCTCAAAGGAATACTCGGTGGCTCATCGTGTGGTCGCAGACTTGAGTATAGACTGCGGAATAGCTGTGGTATTCAAAAAGAAATTTGGCCGGCACTCGGCGCTGAAATGTCGAGTTGGAAGAAAGGTGCTAAATTTACCGGATGTGAATCGATTTGTCTACTGCCTTGTCACCAAAAAAAATAATCGTCTAGAAAACCCACCTACCGTTCGTTATGGGATTCTTTGGTTGTATTAAGGGACCGGAATCTAACCATTAATACTGTGAAGCTGACTATGCCAAGGATATATTGTGAGTTAGATGGATAGAACTGAAGAGTAGTACGAATACGCATGTTAGGTTCTGTTCCGGTACACCGGAGTAGAGATTTTGGTATGTATGGGCAATCTACAACGAGAATTCGCCCACTGTAAGAGAGTGGATTGTTACTTCCATTTGATGACCGTATGCCAAATGGGTCATAATTGCAGGTATCTACATAACCCTTTGAAGAAAGGACTGATTATGATCTGGGACGAGTCATCCTTAAGGAGGAGGAAATGTTACGTACAAACATGTACATTGCTGAACAGGAGTTCTGGAATATTTGAGAAGGATAAAGATTCTTTGAGATCCCAATATAAATAGGCTCTAGACGACAGCTTTAGTTAGTATTGGACAGCTGATATATATAAATAAACAGTGCGAATATATATACCGAGTGGTATAAATACGAGGGTCACGCCGAAATTTTTGAAATGTGGCAACAGCTTGAGTTGTAGGGAGTAACTGCTGCATTTATCGGAATTACGGAATCTATGTAAATGTGTTTACAATGATTTTCGCTGTTAGTGCTATTTGCGTTGTAGTACCGATCGTCTACATTTAGTGAAACATGGACTTAAATCGAGAACATTACCGTGCGATGATGTATGATTTTAAAGTGGGTCTAACTGAACAACAATGTATGCAACTGCTGAATACCGACATTTGGCAGTGAAGCGCCATCATAGGCGACTATATTTAGGTGGTTTACAAAATTTCGCCGTGGACGGAGCTTGTTGCATGACGCAGAACATTCAGGGAGACCGTGTCCCGCTGACACCCCTGAAAATGTGGCCCATATTCAAAATGTGATTGAGGATGATAATCGGTGCATATATACCGTTATAGAAGGTACTGTTGGATCTACGGCAGTTAGAAAAGTTCTCCATGAAGAATTGAGCGTGATAAAATTATTAGCGCGTTGGGTGTCAACATATTTACGGAAAATTAGAAAGCACAACATCTGAGAATCAGCCGTGAAACGCTGCTTGCTACGGAACGGAAGTCACCGAATAATTTTATTACAGGTACTGAAACCTATATTTCCTTTTATGATGTTCCCATGCGTCAAGAAAGCAGAGTTTGTGTGTTTGAAGATGAACCCACGTTGGTCACAGTGGAGAAACAACGTACAACGAAGAAAGTATTATATGCGGTTTTCTTCTGAAGCACAGGGCTTGTGAAGGCCATTAAGCTGGATGGCCAAAGGATAGTCACTGTTGCCTGGTACACCCAACATTCTCTGCCTGATGCCTGAATGCTTCACCACTTCCTTACAAAAAAAAAACTTTTGGGTGTTTCATTCTCACCAGCCAGTGATGCTGTTGGGCGGGCAGTCCCTCCGGACTATGCCGGAAGGTAGGGCAGAAGGCCCTCTTCAGCCTGCTTTCAGGAATCGTAGGAATGGGTGGGTGGTGGTTCGGGTGAGAAAGATGAGACGGACGAAATGAAGACAGAAGAGAATGAAAGATTATCTGTGGAATATTACTGCCTCAGCATTTGCCTAAGTGATCCAAGGAAACCACAGAAAAACTTGGACCAAGGCAGACGGACCCGGAATCGAACCGGCGTCCTCCCGAATGCTAAGCATACAACTGCTCGTCAACGGGCACTATGGCCAGGGATGTACTGTGGTTGGACCAAGACCAAGCAATGAAATTATGACATATATGCTGAATATTAACCCTATATAGCGATAAAACATACCCAAAATTATGCGGTGTTTCTATACAATGATGCAAAAATATTTGTTCCTTTGTCCAAATGACTATTGTTGGAATTTGAATATGCCGTTAATATAGGTATCAATTTTTTACTAAAAATATGTCAAATATGCACTTAATTTCTGCTAATTTTGCTTACCCGAAATTACGGGAAGAGTAGTAAAACAAGAAAAGGTAATTTAAATAACATTTGTGCGTAACATTATCTATTCTTTTCCAAAATTAGTTTTGGATCTTTTTTTTGCCCACACAGACACCTCAATCCACTTTAGGCATTTGGAATTAAATCCAAGTTTACCTTTACATGATCGGATAGCAAGTATAACTAAACTACTATAATTTGCAGAAAATGTTAAGCAGTAGATGAGAATTCACCAATAATAGCCACTTAACAGTTTGTAGGTTGCACTTGCTAACTTTTCAATGGAGAAAACTCCAATTAAAACTGTTATAAACTTACAAATAGGTCCACCATATATAATTATAAAAAGAAACAAATACTCAAAAGCTGAATCTAAACTAAAGCTTGATTTTACGCGAAATATGTAATTTTTAATACCGTTAACCGTACTGAGAATTTGAGAAGAATTTTTGTAAGGTTTTCAGTACATTAAAGTGAATTAATTTTGGAATTAACTTTTACCACTACGTTAATTGTATTGTGGCAATAAACGTCTCATTACTACAATCGCTTTGCCTGTAATGAAAATTAAATCGTAAGTAATTGTTTGCGTAATTATTCAGAAATGAAAACGTGTTGACTTGGAAATCTAATTGTATTCATAAGCCATTATACATTAAACTGTACCTTTAAGATTATCCTGAGATGCGCTTCTTTGATGGGAAACGGTCTTAAAGTGAACGTCATGGTATAATAAAGTAACATAATTACTTATAAGAAAATTATATTACAATATTAGATATTTTACTTATAAGAATTGTCTGATAATCTTAATTATAACTAATGTTTTTCATTTAATTGCAGTGATGAGCAAAGTAAGACCAAGTGTTAGTATTGATTTTGATCTTGCTTATTTGGTCTTGGTCTTGTTTAAATACTTGTAGTCTTGATATTGATCTTGGTCTTGCTGATATAGTCTCGGTGTTGGTTTTGGTCTTGCGTGTTAAGTCTTTGTCTTTGTATAAAGACAGTTTTGGTTTTGGATGCCTCATTTTGGCCGGGTAAACCTCACTCGAGAGGGAAAGAAGATCCCACCACATCTTACCAAATGTAATTATGAGGAAGAGAGGTATCCAAATAAAAAGAAAAGCACCTCACGTAATTAAGTTAGAGATGACGACGATTGATTTAATACCTATAGGTATCATAAAGTCGCCAAAATTTTGTGGAAAGTTTACGAGTTGTTATTTATTTACGCTATTTATAGTGAAACGTTCTTCGTAGAAAGAATAAAATTTTATTAAATATGTCATAATTTTCGTTAACTTTAATGAAAATATAAAATGGAAGAGAAAACTTATAAGTAAACTTCGTTTCATGTTAATGCCTCATTACATTTCATATACATTAGATCTATGAATCTTACCGCTACATATGTTTTTGTTGCAGCTTTTTAGAAATGGTGAGGTGGCGCCCTGATGTCGCGCCGCTTAACCCCCATACAGCACCCCACTCGTGTACCACATCACCATCAGCTTCCCACTTCAGATAACCCCTATCAGGTAAATGTATGTTGCTGTCTAATAATATCAATTATGCGGCAAGAAAAAGGACCATCATCTTTTAAAATGAAGCTTATTTTGGCCTTTTAAAGCTATTTTTGATAAAAGTCATAACTCAAAAAATATTGTAAAGATGTGATACAGATAAGGTAAAACGTTCAACGTACATAGAAATTACACATTTATTTGTCTACATATTGTCTTTTTATTTCGAATGAGCGAAAATGCCTAATTTTGCGGACGTGTGGAATATGTCTTTTCAATCACATGTATTTAAAAATGTATTCTGCTTTTTTGAAACCGGTCCTAAACTAATCGAACTTTCAAAACAGCGTAGCAATACTCAAAAGTTTTATATTACTTTATTGCTGAAAATATTTGTGTATGAATTTGCTTATATCACGTCGTATTTTTCAAAAGATGATGTCACCCCTTGATGATTGCATGTAATATGTATAGGAAGTGGTGTTGTGTGTTAAACTCGTTCAAAAATCATAAAGCGCAATTGTTAGGTAATTGTAGGATGAACACTCATAATAAAATAATTAGTTATTAGTAGACTTATCAGGTTTTGACTAACGGAAACTAATTAGTATGAATTTGTCATCTTACAAACTGTTTATGTTTATAATTTGGACAATTAATTTAGAAATTCGAAAAAGGTTGTTAAAGGTGTATGTTTGGAGCACGGCGCTGTACGGGTGCGAAACATGGACAGTGGGCACGGTGGAAAAGAAAAGGTTAGAAGCGTCTGAAATGTGGTGTTACAGGCGAATGATGAGGATACTGCGGATAGAAAAGGTTAGAAATGAAGAGGCATTAGAAAGAGTAAGAGAACAGAGGACTCTATGGAAGTCAATAAGAAATAGGCGAGATAGGTTAGTAGGACACCTTCTCAGGCATGGAGGTCTGGTCAGAGACATATTAGAGGTAGAAACGGATGTTAGGAGGGGCAAAGGTAGACCTAGATTACATTACTGTTCGCAAATAGTTAAGGATATGAGTTGCTGTAGCTTTAGGGAAATGCGAAGATTAGCGCAGGATAGGAAAGAGTCGAGGTGCGTGTCCAACCAGTCTTAGAACTGACGACCTTACGATGATGATGATGCGTTTGGACGATCAAAATAGGCAAAATCCGCAAAAAAATATCTATGTGAATGGGTGTATCTTCTTCCTTAATTCCAGTTAGGACTGTAGTCATGTGTTACGTTTTGAACACACCCTTATTAAATTAGGGAATGCTTCATGAGTAGTACAGACAAAATGTAAAGAGATAATCCAGTAATAGTAAGCGGTGTAGCGCATAGGACAAGGGTCGACTCTATAACTGCCTGGTTGGAATATTTCTAAAGTCCAATTCTGGTAACATGCTCAAATTCTGCTTGTTTGTATCTCTTTCTGTTGCACATTAATTCGTGTAATGTTTTTGTCATGTTAGCGCGGAAAGCTCGTTTTGCGTGCTATACATTAGTCTTTTGAGCGCATGCGCTGAAGTTTATGGGCATGCGCAGAAATCAGTTTTTCAATGACAGTGGCTTTCTAACCTCTAAATCATTTACTCTTATTTCGCCAATTATCAATTTAATAACGAGCTTTCCGCATAAACATGACAAAAAATAGTATACGTACCTCGGGAAGAAACAGGGTTGTTTCAGACCCGAGCCAAAGGCGATGGTGGCAATTCACATGCAGTCTGAAATAACCTGTTTCTTCCCTCGATACGTAATGTACTATTTCTTTATTAGTGTCCGCTGCAATTCCTACCTGACATCTTTTTTCTGTAGTCATTTCTTTGTTGATCGATATTTCGCGAACAAAAATTGATTTTGACTTTGTTGAGGTGCCGATCGAAGCATATTAACGCCAACATAATCAAAAGAAAATAATATAAAATTCGGTTGAGTTTATTTAATCTAATTGGTTCTGATATAACTCTATGCTTTGAAATAAATCAGATATTTAGGTTAGGTTAGGTTAGGTAGTATATGTAATTAGATATGTTTATCCATTACTAGATACTGTATATCTGTACTAACAGTTGGAGATTTGAATCAGTTGCCTCCTGTACTGGGATGTTATTCGTGTGGACCACAGTGATGCGACACACATAGTCCACATCTACATCACGGCTCATTTTTATTTTTACTTGAGTAGCAATACATAAAAATTTTGTGTAAATCAAAGTGTTTAATAAACTATAATCATTTCACTTTTACGGGAGAAGGTTTACTCACTACACAATAAATGCTTGCATGTGTGTAACTTGCGTATTTTTATATTAGTTAGTCTGGATGTTATGTGTTAATAGTTATAATACATGCATAGATTTTCTGTGTGGAACAATATAATTATTCCTGTTACGTATTCGTATGTGTCACTGGATATAATATTTAATAATTAATAATGGATTTTGATACAACGAAGGGCTGTGGAGCAAGGTATTCTACAAAAAAGAATCTGCCGGTATTAATGTGCTTAATAAATTCAAGAACTTCATTTACCGATAAAAACATTTTAATTACTTGTAATAATAATAATAATATAAATTTGGCACGAGATCGCGTAACGCCATGAACCAATACCAATAATCAAATCAAAAATGGCAAGTATTGACGTATTCGAGGTAGAACTAGACAATTGCAACGAATGGGCGTACTTAAATGTCTACTGGCAGTGTCAAGATTTATTTTGATGGACACATACATTCTAACCTTAAAATCCTTAACGCTGCTTTCACACATACGGTTTTCTAACGGCAACCGTGCCGGCTGTGCCGTAATTTCATTTGCTTTGCGTTCACACTGCACACGGTTTTTCACTTCGGGTTTAGTTTTGGTTTGATATGTGACCAAAATGGACGAAACAAAGAAAACGCATGTTGTTACTAATGATATGGCATGATCGCAGAAAAACACAAAAAACAAGAAAATTTTGGATTCATCCACTACTTGAAAACAGACAATTGATGGGTGAATTTGTAACATTATTTCATGAGCTACGAGAGGATAGCTTCAATTTTTTTTAATTATTTTCGAATGTCCATTAGGAGTTTCGATGAATTATGCGTAAAATTGCAAGATGATTTACAAAAAGAGGACACACATATGCGATTGAATACAAAAGAATTTGAATACACTGTTCCAAATATTTTCACAGAGAATAACAGAAAGACAGATACAAAAGAATTCGAGTAGAAATATTTACAAAAGGGTGTAATATAATGTTTAGCCAAATACGTTTTAAATTAAATATAGCGGTGTTATTATCCGTCACACTATATAACTTCTTCTGTAAACTGCACAATTCAGAGAGAAAAACGATCCTGAAAACAATTTTTGCCGTGTGAATACTTCTATACACTTGCTTGTCTCACTGTTGCAGTGCACGGCTACGGCACCGTGCCGTTGAAGTCCCCATGCGATGCTGCGACGGCAGCCGTGTACGGCTCCGGCAGCAAACCGTGTTGTGTGAAATCTTGCATATAAACCAATGTATTACTATTATACACGGCACCGTTGCCGTGCACGACTACGGCAAAAAACCATATGTGTGAAAGCAGCGTAAGAGCATGACGTTTAGATAATGCACTGTATGCAACGGTACCCATCTGTCCAAAGGAGGTAATTCCGCCATCTGTCATAAAACCTAGACGGAAGATGTCTCGCATACTACTCTCTCTTTTATACTTAATAAAAGTGTTAAACAAACAATAAAAATTTCATTGGAAAAAAGAAATTCTTTCGTACCTATATGAGAGCGAGATTACCTATTGTATTTTTCAACGCTAATACAAATTTAAGAGAAAGGCTTTAAATCACTATGAAATATTTAATAAGATCAAATGACTTCCTTGAATAGGGGCGAAAAAGAATTGAGTCTGATGTACACCATTTTTGAGTTCATAGTATAGGTAAGCAATCTAGGGTGTTACGCGGCAAGGCACTCCAAGGGATTGTTTTGAAACTATTAACTATTTTATGGAGATTCAAAAGTTTTTTCTTGAATTTGGACTGGAGCTTCGAAAAATTCACGCCTATAAATGCAATTTTTATTGTTCGTTTAGAACTTTTACGAAGTGCATCGTTAAACATGTATGATAATAAATGATGGAAAATTGCTCTTTACTTTTTTGCGAAAATTGCATTCTAATTCCTCGATTTTTAACAGAGTTACAGTTCTTGTGTTATAAATGCTTATCACATACATTGCGAGCGAAGTCAAAATATGTAACCGCTATTTCATATATGTATAATAGTCGAGTGAGATGTCATTCGAAATCGAAATTTATCGAAATTTTGAAAATGGTGTATCATCATTTTTCATTAACATCGCATTTCTTGAGTTATAAGTGGTATTTAGGAGAACAGAGGACTCTATGAAAGTTAATAAGAAATAGGCGAGATAGGTTGGTAAGACATCTTCTCAGGCATGACGGTCTCTATCATACATTGTGCTGGCTAAGCTACGACGGGTAATGGCTATCTCAAATCGAAATTCTAACAATTTTAACTTAAAATGTATAATTAACTTTTTTTAGAAACATTTCAGTCTGACTAGTAAAGTTTTTATTCAAAGATATTATTAAATTATTAAATTGACTTTCACTGATTCAAAATGCAACCTTAACCAGTAACATTAAGTCAAGCCTCCATGTCATTTCCCAATATCCATGTATCTTTGTTTCGTTTGATTTTCCTTTTTTTTATTTCGATTTTTCCATGGTTTTTTATAATGTATTTAAAATATGTATGTAGGTATATTATTTATCGAAGCATTTTTAATTCTCATTATGTTGTCACATAAGAAGTTTTTAAAAGATTTGAGTTTTGGTTTGGAGTAGTTTTAGTTTTTCGTTATTTCGGAGGGTTTATTATTGAACGGTATGATCTTTCGTACACAATGAATAATAAGGAAACAACAGGGCATTTTGCTCAAGACAGTGACGTGAGGCGAACAAAAAATGGGCACAAGATGGTTTCTTTTCATGTTGCCGACGCTTT